CATCGGACCACTGGGCCGGCATCCAACGGTGTTAATGTCTAACTCTGATTTATCTAGGTATTTTGAGCGACCTCACCCACTTTTTGTCTTTGTTAGTTACTGCCTACACCCGACAGGGTTGATGAACTCCATTGGTCACGTCTTCTCAACTAGAACTCCGAGAATTTCCTCACGAAGCTAGTCACTAGTGAGCACTGTTACGATATTTTTGGGGCAGAGTTTTGGAGGTTTGCGTTTTTACACAATGATTGATTGATGATTTCAAATGTGTAAAAACGCAAACCTCCAAAACTCTGCCCCAAAATTATAAACTATAGTTTTAAAAGCGCAATAAGAAAGTATGTGTTAAAAGTAGCCATTTCATAGTTAAGTGTATTTAATTTGAAACGACGCAGTATTATACTTTTTATTATGAATTGATTTAGGTTGAAAGATTATTGAATATTTTGAAATAGTCAACACTGAACATTGTCAACTATGTGCTGACTTAAACTGCGGGGTCATTATCTTATCGATAAAATTCATAGTTTCTTCTTTTAATCAGACTTCTTATTATAAAATTCTACAATTTTATAACTTCTCACTAAACTGTGGTATAACAACCTGAACTTAAGTATGTACGTACAAAGTTCTACGATGTATGTAACTTTGACTGACTAAACTGTTATTTCAATACAAATAAATAATCACGCCAACATCTGAAGGGAAGCACGGTATCTAATGGACAGCTAGGATGCAGCTAGACAAACTAGACTTCGCAGAGGATCTGGATCTTTCATCACACACGCAACAACAAATGCAAGAGAAGACGACCAGTGTAACAGCGACCTCAGCGGCAGCAAGTCTCAACATACGGAAAGGGAAAAGCAAGACTCTGCGATACAACGCAACCTGCGTCAATCAAACCACTCTTGATATAGATGCTTTGGAGGACGTTAACACCCTTACATATCTCGGCAGCATCATCGCCGAGAAATGGGGATTCGATGGAGATGTGGGGGCGCGAATCGGCAAAGCAAGGGCTGCATTTCTACGACTGAAAAATATCTAGAACTCCAAACAGGAATCAATCAACACCAAAACCAGGATTTTTAATACAAATGTCAAGACAGTTTTATTGTATTAAACGGAAACTTGGAGAACTACGAAATCAATCATCCAGAAGATACAAGTATTCATTAACAGTTGTCTACGCAAAATACCACAGATCCGATGGTCAGACACGATCAGCAACAACCTACTGTGGGAGAGAACAAACCAGATTGGAGCGGAGGAGGAAATCAGAAAGAAGCGGTGGGAGTGGATAGGACAAACACTACGAAAAGCACCTGACTGAGTCACAAGACAAGCCCTCACATTGAACCCTCAAGGCAAAAGGAAAAGAGGAAGGCCAAAGAACAAATTACGCCGAGAAATAAAGAAAGACATGAGAAGAATGAACAAAAATTGGACAGAACTGTAAAGGGAAGCTCATAGCAGAGTAGGTTGGACAAAACTGGTCAGCGGCTTATACTTCATTGGTGTTGACAGACGTATGTAAATAAGCGAATTTCAACTACTAGAAAATGTTTTTCAAATAACCACTTTCATTAAATTCAACCGTTTGAATAATTAATATTAACTTAGAAAAACATGTTTATATATATACATATTCGTATTTATCAATATTTCACATCATGATCATTTCAATAAATATATAAACATGAATTATCAATATCCATGATTATACTGTATTTTAAATGAAACAATTAACATAATTGTCAATGATTTCAAAATAATCCATGCAAATCTACCTAGTTATGTATATATATATATATATATATATATTCATAGAATAAATTGAAATTCATTTCATTCCTAGAAAGTTTAATAAGTCATATACACCTCTCAAGGTTACCCCACCATAGAATTGATTGATTGATTTTTCCGCTTCATTGTGACATACTTTGTATACTACTTAGAATATAATGTAATGTAATGTAAATGAATTTTTCATGTTATATGTAATAACAGTAGTTATTTTGTTTTTGAGTTCATCAAATTCAATTAGCATAATAGATAATAGTAAATATAGATTAGATTGTTTCAAAGAAGTTATATTTTAATAAATATTTAGATAATACTTATCAGTGCTTGGTGATTCATTCAAATCATGATTCGATCATTGACAAGCTATCATTAAAAACCTGAAAATACACTGGATGGCCATTTTGTCGTAGGATGCGACTCATCAGCAGGGCTCATTGATGACCTTGCAAGCAAGAATCTGACAATTATCATATTCCCGTGCTCACTAGTGACTAGCTTCGTGAGGAATCTTCTCCGAGTTCTAGTGGGAGGACGTGACCAGTGAAGCTCAACCTGTTCGGGTGTAGGCAGTGTCTACCGAAGACTGTGTATGAGGTTGCGCAACTCCGTGAATTGATCAAGTTAGACGTTAACACTGCTAAATACCGGCTCAGAAGGTCCTGAGTTCGAATCCTGCGGGGTGCAGGAGTCGTGGATGCGCACTGCTGACGAGTCCCATACCAGGACGAAAAGGTCGTCTTTCAGTGCTTCCAGGTTTCTAATGGTGATCTAACATTGATCGGTTCATGGTTTCAAAAATGTGTAAATTATCATATTCTCATTAATGGATAGCTTCGTGAAAGAATTTTCACAGTTCTAGTGAGAAGCGATGACCAGTAGAGTTCGACCATGTAAGATGTGATGCATTTATGCGCCGTAGACAATGAATGAAGTTGCACCATACCGTGGATCAACTGAAGTTTGACGTTAACACTGTTCAGTACTATTTTAGTGGTCAAAAGGTTAAGTGTTCGAGTACCAGACTGAAGGTCCTGGCTTGGCGCCGTGGATGCGTACCGCTAATGAGTTCCATACTAGAGCCAAAAATGGCCATCCAATGACTCCAATTTCTTAATGGTATTCTAAAATTGATCAACTCACAATTTTGAAGAAACTCAACAATCTCCACAACTCTATACGGATAAAGCTTTGAAAGATTTTTATTTGTAATTATCATTTTGATCGAACACTTCTATTAACTGTTATTTAAGAGAAATTGTTAATTTACCAACAGATCAATAAGTAGTTCATTTCTCTACTTTATCTTATCGGCTATGCGTCATAATAAAATCTGAATTAGTTAAGGCCTAAATACAAATTTCGCTTTTTTAAAACTTACTGGTTGATATTCTGTTACGAATACACGTAAACATGTCATTTTGATGTGCTTTAACTATTACAAGTTTACCTTAGTCAGAAAACGAGAGTGAGGATCGAAGATCCGGTGACATGACATGCTACTCTAATCCGATTGTCCCAACCGTCAATAAATAAAAGAAGAAGACTTGATATGAAGTAGAACCTGTAGTCTACAAACATCCAGAAAGTACTAAGTCTAAGTACAGAAGAAAGCAAGGATTCCTGACTGAGGATCCGGGTTCGGGTCATAAAACGTTACGGATAATGTGTATTTATACAGTTAAGTCGAGCAAGAAACAACATAGAAGTCTGTAACATTGATACTTAGGATGTCCAATGGGAAACATCATTTGAAGTGACATTGATAGTTAGTACGACCAATAGGAGACAACATTGAAGTATGTGACATTGATAATTAGGACAACCATAATATTAACCAATAGGAATCGACCAATGGAATTTACACTTACAAAAATAATTCTTCGTAGGATATTTGGTGAATATCCTAACACATTCATATCAAGATTTCGAACCTATTTAACTATATGGTGGTATAAATATCATTACTTCAATGACTAAACTCTTGTACAATGAAATTATAATACCGACACACTCATAATTAATTCACTGTATACTATAACTGCTGAAGATATTATAGACTATTATAACTGATCAACCTGATGGATAACTATGTTTAAGTTTCATAATTCATAACAAACTGAAAATACATATACATCCAACCAGTAGGTTTTCGATAGGTTGAAATATACACATCCTGAATTCAATCGCTATTTACCACGTAAAATATAATTTACTGATGAATGCAAGAGAATTTTAAAAAGATGTATCTCAAGCTACTTATATATTATTGATCAAGACTAATTCATCATTCACTTTCAAAACACAAGAAAAAATATCCAATCTTTATCTTCATCTTCATTTATATTTACAATGATGACAATTCAGCAGTGTAAAACAGAAATTACACAAAAACATTTACGGCACCAATCAAGTTGATAAAACATTTTTTTCGAAAATAAAACAAAAAAAATAGTAACACATGTAAAACTTTTATTTGTAACCATGAATCGATCAATGTTAGACCACCGTTAGAAACCTGGAAGCTCTGGACGGTCGTTTCGTCCTGGTATGGGATTCATCAGCAGTGCGCATCCACAACTCCTGCACCTCTAAGGATTCGAACCCAGGGCCTTCGGTATTGTGCACGAACGCCCTATCCGTTAGACAAACAAAACTTATCAATCTTCACAACAACCCCGCAAAGCAATTTCATGTGTCCACTAGTGACTAGCTTGGTGAGGAATCTTCTCCGAGTTCTAGTGGGAAGTCGTGACCAGTGAAGTTCAAACCTGTTCGGATGTATACAGTGTATGAGGTTGCGCAACTCCGTGAATTTGATCAAGTTAGACATTAACACCGTTAGATACCGGCTCAGTGGTCTAACGGTTAGAGCGTTTGCGCACAATACCGAAGGTCCTGGGTTCGAATCCTACGGGGTGCAGGAGTCGTGGATGCGCACTGCTGATGACTAGTCCCATACCAGGACGGCCGTCTTCCAGTGCTTCCAGGTGGACTAACATTGATCGATTCATGGTTACAAATTAAACTTAACAATCTTCACAACAACCCCGCAACACATGTAAAACTTAACAAGGAACACAAAAGTTTTTTGGACAATAAATAATATATATATATATATATATATATATATATATATATATATATGTCATCATAGTAGTATTTGACAATAAAAAATAAAAAATAAAACTTACATAATTCATATGTGAATGATGTTTGTCATTGGTTTGTTTCAATTCGTTTGGCACACTAGTATAACAGTTGCTCAATGATGAATTATTTCCAACTACTAATCGATCATGATTGGCGTCATTAGGCATAATGTTACCAGTAGTAGTATTATTAGTAGTACTAATATTAGTCGTAATCGATTGAGATGTCGCTGAATATTGATTCGATGATAAATTGAATTTAGAAACTTCTGAATACGATTGAGAAGTAGGCATGGTACAATTTGTCGATCCTTTTAAAAGGAAGGAAGAAGGCAAGTATGCAAGTGAGAGAAAGAGAGAGATAAAAAGGAATTGACTGGTGATGATTGCACATGCCGTTATGTAATAATGCGGTAATTTGCTAAAGAAAAAAATTCCACTGTTGGAACTTACTTTATTATCGATTGGATTTAAACTTCCTTATCACAAAAAAAACAACCTTACTTTAATATTGTTGAATGATTCTACGAGAAGGGCTATTTCTAAAGTATAAACAAGTATATCATTGTTTCTCCTGGTTACTGATTACCAATTTCTTCGATATCCACTGACAAATATGAATTGGAGAATAATGATTTCTAGTTAACATTTATCTAACATATATGATCAACTGTCTTTTTTTAATAATTTGTATAACTGTCCAGAGGTTAGGTGTTCGTGCGCAAGACCGAAGGTCCTGGGGTTCGAATCCTGCAGGGTGCAGGAGTTGTAGATGCGCAAATCAGGTGAAACGGCCGTTCAGTGCTTCCAGGTTTCCAATGGTGGTCTAACAATCACTGATTGATTGATGATTTCTAATATGCAACACATACTATAAGATTTTTACTTTATCATACTAAGCCAACATTAGAACAATGGTACTTGATACTTACATATAAAATGATTTTATTTGCATAAAAATCATTTTAAAATATAGTAAAAAGTAAGTTAGTAATAACCTCAAAAGTTTACGCTTAAAACGTCTGGTCTCAGTATATTTTGATCGTGTCTAGAGGTTAAATAATTTGACAGTTATTAGTTTTTTCAATCAATATTAGTCTTACTGTAAAGCTTAAAATCGTTTGCAATGGCACAGAAAGCAGCCACTATTTGTATTCTCTTGAATTCTAATCTGAATTCCTTATGACCTTCATCTTTGTCTTCTCAAATATATTTCACTAGATTAAACTGCTTGAATAACATCTTCAAGCCCTAATCTTTTCGATTACTGCTCTTACTTCTAATACCTCTAGCACTATGAGATTTGAAGTGACCATAACGTCTCAGTGCTCGTGTGGCGACTTGGATTTATGGACGTAAGTACGAAGTTCTACGCTGTAACTGACTGACTATAAAGTCTTGATAAAACGAAGGACATTCTTTTTAGTTAGTTGAAGTAAATTTAAGTTGACAGATACCATAGAATGATATTGATAGGTTAAGCTATTAATCACTAACATTAAACTTGTAGATAAACTTCAATCTGGATTGAGATAACTGACCTCAATGTCAGTAGGGGCTGAAATCCAAAAATCCAATCGTTCTTTTCAAAACATACTTTTGAAATTTTGGTTTACGAAACTTGAGAAGAATTCCTTAAAGATATTTATAGATGACTAACACAGAATATCAGCACATTTCTTAAACAAGATGTATGGAGTTCTATCAGGTCCTGAACATCAGAACTAGTAAAGTGACTGATGACCTTTTTGGACACTGATTTCAGTAAAAAATTGCAATACAGCTCTTCTTCAAATTTGTGCATTTGAGAGGCATGACATCAGATGATGAATATATTAAAAAAAACTTAATCACGTCACAAAAATTCATCAGGGACATCGTTGTCACTAATGCATCTTCCACTTGTAAGCTATTTAAATAGTTTTCATATAATTGAAAAGTTTTTTTTAAGAAATAGGGGTTTCTGAGTAAATATCTAATTCAGAAGTTTAATTTCTTTGTTTATTAAACTATTTTTGAATTATTTTTTTCGGTTAGCGTTTTCTTAGCGAGTTAGCTTTCTATGGAATAGGGTCAGCGACCCCATGCCAAACCTTCCTCCTTTATCCGTGTTTGAGAACTTTAGTAGCCCTAGAAGGGCTCCAGGTGGAACTCAACACTCTACATCTACTTCATTGACTGTGAGAAAGCGTTTGATAGAGTGAAGGATCCTTCGAAACTACAGCGTGCCTGAGAAAGTAGTCAACATCAAACGGAATTCATATGATGGATTCAACTGCAAAATTGTTCACGGAAGACAACTGACAGACTCATCCAAAGTGAAGACCGGTGTCAGGCAGGGTTGCTTACTCTCACCCTTTCACTTCTTCCTGGTGATCGAATAAACTACGGAGACGTCAACATCTGGAGGGAAGCACGGTATCCAATGGATAGCCAGGATGCAGCTGGACGATCTAGACTTCACAGATGATCTGGCTCTTCTATCACACACACAACAACAAATTCAAGAGAAGACGACCAGTGTAGCAGCAGCCTCTGCAGCAGCAGCAAGTCTCAACATACATAAAGGGAAAAGCAAGATTCTACGATACTACGAAAGCCATCATCCAGAAGATACAAGTATTCATTAACAGTTGTCTACGCAAAATACTTCGGATTCGTTGACCAGACACCATCAGCAACAACCTACTGTGGGAGAGAACAAACCAGATTCCAGTGGAGGAGGAAATCAGGAAGAAGTGCTGGAAGTGGATAGGACACACACTACGAAAAGCACCTAACTGCGTCACGAGACAAGCCCTCACATGGAGCCCTCAAGACAAAAGCAAAAGAGGAAGACCAAGCAACACATTACGCCCAGAAATAGAGAAAGATACGAGGGGAATGAACAAACATTGGACAGAACTGGAGAGAGAAGCCCAGGACAGATTTTGTTGGAGAAAACTGGTGGGCGGCCTATGCTCCATTAGGGGTAACAGGCGTTAGTAAGTAAGTAAGTAAGATTCTACGATACAACACAATAAACGCCAACCAAATCACTCCTGATAGAGAAAGCTAGTCATCAGCCTATACTTCATTGTGGGTAACAGACTAAGTTATTTAGTAAGTAAGTTATTTCGAAATTTAGTGGAGTTTTTATTCTTGTACAATTTTTTTTTCTCCTCTATTGTTTAAATTGTCGAGATGTCAGTTAGTCAAAACGATTTTTGCGCAACAACAAAGCAAATCAAAGCAAAATTTCAAAATTAACAAGTGACAACATCAACGGTGTTTGTTCTGTTTTTTCCAATAAATCATCTGTCAGTAAAAATCCCAAATTTTATCATACAAAACATATTTTTTTCAGATCTTACAATATTTTCTTCTAAGGTATTCATTCCTGTTTAGTTTCTATATATTGTATATATATGTATTGTTTACAAGTTTGTCATTTGGGGTTTTAGGTGTTGTGATATGACAACTTGAACTAACACACAATATACAATCATTCTGTATTCTATCTAATATTATCTACAACTGACTAACTAATTAATTAATTAGTTGACATTGTTAGGATTTAAAATATTCTTTTTTGTAGAATAACTAATTATCAACTAACTATAAGCAAATAAATATTGCCTATCAAAACATAAATATTCATGGTCAGTTAGTTAGTTAGTTAGTTAGTCAATTACAAAGTAGAACTCTGTACATACATAAGTTCAGGTTGCCAAATCATATTAGCACACACAAAGAGATGTAATTGTCAATTCAAATCCAATAGTGATAGCGATAGTAGAAGAATTAGTAGTGGTAATGAAGAAAAGTAGAGTTCGAAGAAATTATTTAAGAAGTGTAATTCAGTGAAACAAATTTAGAAAGACAAAGATAGAGATTCAGTGAGATAAGGTTAGAAAGACTAAGGTAGAGGTGTTGATGAATCCAGAAGATTAGGATTTGAGAGAACACAAACAATGGATGCACCTGCGTCATTACAATCGATTTTGAGCCCTGTCATTCAAGGTCGCTAACCATCGATTACTATCATCTCGCGGACACAAACCAGGTAGCCTAAATCTACCAACATGACTCAGTCCACTTGTCAGTGACTTCATGAATTTGTGCCATGGTTTGGTTTGGCCGCCCCTAGCTTTCTTCCAACCTATTCCTACATCATGAAACATCGCTCGTCTAGGCAGTTTGTAGTTAGGCATTCGTAACATATATCCCAGCCCCCACAACTGATGAAGTTTCAATACCTCATCAACTGATTTGCCATTCTTACCTAGGTCTCATTTCTGAACGACATCATCGCTTACTCGGTTGTCCCATGATACATAAGCAATGCTTCGAAGATACCTATAATCGAATACTAACAGCCTACGAATATCCTCTAGTTTTACTGGTCATGTTTCACAGCGATAAAGTAGGACGGAGAGAAATGCTATGCAGTAGACTCGTCCTTTAGTTAGCAAACATTGTCCAAATATATCTATTTTATGTGAATAAGGATCCATTTGAAGATGTTCATATAATAATCCTAAATTCGAACAAGTAAACTTCATGTAGTAATCTATATTTATATTTGACCGATGATCAAAGTTGATTTGATAAATCATTTACAGATAGGTATCAGTAACATTGAAAACTAGAATGACTACAGATGACACAAGTGTTCATCAACAGTTATCTAAGTAAAATACTTCGGATCCGTTAGTCGGACACCATCAGCAACAACCTACGGTGCAAGAAAACAAGAATAAGCTCCCGGAAGTGAATAGGACACATATTGAGGATAGCACAAAACAAGCCCTCACTTGGAATCCTCAACACCAAAGGGAAACAGGATGGCCAAGGAATACACGACAACAAGAATTGCAGACAGACATGCAAAGATTAAGCAACAGTTGGTCAGAACTGGAAAGAAAACCCCAGAACAGAGTAGGTTAGAACATGCTGGTCTACGACCTATACTCCGTTGGGGGTAACAGACGTAATTGAGTAACTGACTAAGATACTAACCTTGTATTTTGATCTGTCCGCTTTTAATTCAATCAAAAATAGCCTAATAATAAAGCCAAACATTAAACAAAACTTCAAATCACAACAGATGCCCATTTCTATTCATGTACCGTAGTGAAGGAGAACACAGGTGAGGGCAACCGAATTGTATTCAACGAAAATTACAGAGTTACTCAGTAAAATAGGAAAACCATATCGTAACCACCGTTAATTTGCAAATCTTCAATCATCATCAATCCATTGTCCGACATTTCACTTATTCCATGCAGTTTCATACAAATTCCATTTCGTGTTCCCACTCTTCTTCCTTTCTTGATCTTCCCCCATCTACTGCTGCCAAACATTACCTTGACACTCACGTCATATACTACTTATAAGTAGCGCGCACCACAGTTCCAATGGGCATAATATTCAAAATTAAATCTTATTTGACCCTCCTTAACACAGCTAAAGCTACTACATAATATCATATTAATCGATGTACCTTTTAATAATTCATATATATATATATATATAAATCAATACATTCTAATTAATTTTTTTTTATAAAACTTTCCATAATATCATTTTCTATGTTGTAGGTAAACAACATTCTTGCATAGCATTGTTTCTTTATTGGTACTTTATTATTAGAGAGAAAAATGCACTAAGATTCAATTTATTGTTCACCTGTTACTTTTTTTTGTTAATCGTTTTTCGCCTCTCTCTCTCTCTCTGCCATAATTCATCATCATCAACAACAGTAGTAACAATAGTAACAACAAAGAAGAACAGGGTATTCGAAGTGGTAATTTGTATGTGTATGCTTTGCTTCAATCTCTCTCTCTGTCTTTATTCCTCCTTTTATTTTTAGAGGTATAGTAGTAGTTTGTAAAGATTAAATGATTTTACACTCGTTTTTTTTTCTCTCTCTATATTTCATGAATAAGATTAATAGTAAGTAAATAAGTAAATAAATAGTAGTATGAAAGAAAATAAGCGGAAAAGTAAAGAAATTTATTCTTCATTGTATACATACACTATGGAGAATAAGTGTAATTAGATAGGATAGATAGAGAATGCACATTCGAAACATCAAAAAAACTGTATGCATGTATGAGAAAAAAAGGAGAGAGAATATAGAAAACATACTATTCATATAGGGAATTGTTGAAATGATTGAATGAATGATTGTTAGACTACCATTGAAAGAAAAGGACGGGTGTACTGAGCAGCAGTTCGCTCCGTTCTCCTATATGGCTGTGAAACATGGCCATTAAGAGTAGAAGATATTCGTAGGTTACTAGTATTCGATCATAGATGTTTAAGAAGCATTGCTCGTATATTGTGGGACAACCGAGTAAGCAATGCTGTTGTTAGGAAACGGGTACTAGGTAAGGATGGCAGATCAATAAATGAAGTAGTGAAACTTCATCAGTTGAGGTGGTTGGGACATGTGTTACGAATGCCTAACCACTGACTGCCTCGACGAGCTATGTTTTGTGGTGTAGGAGTAGGTTGGAAGAAAGCTAGGGGCGGCCAAACAAAAACATGGCACGAGTCCATGAAGTCACTGACAAGTAGACTGAGTCATGTTGGTAGATGAAGGCTACCCAGTTGGAATCCGCGAGATAAAAGTCAGCGAGTGTTAGAGACCCTGAATGACATGGCTCGAAATCGTTTAGAATTGCGCAAGTGTATCCATTCGTTGTGTTCTCTCAAATCCTAATCTTCTGGATTCTTTAGCACCTCTACCTTTGTCTTTCTAACCTTATCTCACTGAATTAAACTTCTTGAATAATATCTTCGAACCCTAATCTCTCTGATTACTAATCACGCTTCTACTACCTCTACTACTATGGGATTTGATTTGACATTTGCGTCTCTGTGCTAATGTGGTATGTCAACATGAACTTATGTACATACGTACGAAGTTCTACGTTGCAACTGACTGACTGACTGATTGACCATTGGAAGAAACTTGGATAGATGTTTCGTCTTGGTATGAAACTGATCAATGGTTGTGCGCGCATTCATGACTCCTGCTAATCGCAGAATTTGAATCCAGATGTTGCGGATGCTAGATTCCCAGAACTCACTTGATGAAGGTCCTAATTTTGGATTTTTGTTTATGTTATTGCGCATAAGTTGCCCAGTTGACCTTCAGCTTACATTATCCACTCAGAAAATCCTTGACTGTCATTGGTTGACTAATTATCTTAGTAGACTATTTTGTGGCTCTCACCAAGTATGTTGCTATCATTGTATAAATAAGCTTGATTTGTGCGTTTGTCGGCCTCGTATTTTCTGAGTGCTTGTAGAATACACTTTCTATGCCTTATCAAATCTTTTTGATCTAGCCAGCCGTATCGGGGACAAACGGATTAGAATAGCCTATTGTGTCACTGCATCGTTTGTCTTCGCTCCGTTTATCGAGTAAGGTGAACTCGTAATAGTTTCAACCATATCAATTGACAAGCATATCATCAGGACCTTTTGTCTTGCACGCGAACGCCTAACTTCGGGATCACTGGTCCAGCATCCAACGGTGTTACTGTCTAGCTCTGATCAATCTAGGGATTTTGCGTCAATCCTGTGAGTAACAAAAGTCATGGACTCGCACTACCACTGATGAGTCCCAGACCTGTACAAAACAGCCATTCAGTACTTTCAGGTTTCTAATAATAGTCTAACAATGATTGATTCATTGATGACTGTAAACAATAAACAACAATCTCCATAACTCCTCTAATTCAACCATAAAATTCATACAAAACAAATAAATATTGAAAGTACGAAAAAAATAATACTCACCTTGTTTATATGATAAATAATCATCATGCTGATTGTTTAAATGTAGATTTTGATGTACAATAATAGATGATTCATTTGTATAAATCGTAGAAGAAGGTGATGGAGAAGGTGAAGATAGTGAAGGTGAAGAATAAATTAATGAGGATGAATTAATTGGTATTGGCTGATGGTGATGATGATGATGAGGTTGAGGTTGTTGAGAATTTTTTACAGATGAATTGGAATTATGATAAGTAGTATTGTTATCGTAATTATTATTATTATTATTACTGTGTATATTAATGAGTTGATGAGTTGAATGTTTTACACACTTATGACATTGATCATTATTTCTATAAATTCATTTTTAAATAAAAATAATAAGAAAAAGAACAATAAAAAATAATCAATAATGATTAGTTTTATAAAATAATTGAATTTTAATTTAAAAAGAATTTTTAAATGTTTAATTGGTTTTTTTTTATGATTGAACTTGACTAACATAAAAACCGTGTCCCTCTCTCTTACTTGAAGTTATTTAGTTGATTTGAATAATATCTAACGTGATTATGTAATCATAAAATAATTTAGCATTTGAAACATGATAGACTTAAACTGATCTATTGTAGTAATTATTACTTTGGTCATACTATACTCTGGCTGAAGATTCAATCTAAGATGGTACTGGAAATGGCACTAAATACACAGTTCATATAGCAGCAACAGGATGTTCAGTTAAAAGGAATTAATAGTTGCTGACTGACTGTTGGAAACGTTAATTCCCCAGAACTCACTTGATAAAGGTCCTAATTTTGGATTTTTTGTGTTTTCGAGCATGGGCTGATCAGCTGACTTAGAGATTACCTTTCCCTGTCGGAAAATCGTTGGGTGTTATTGGTGTTTCTATCATGTATATATAAACTCGGTTTGTGTGTGCTTGTCGACCTCATATTTTCTGAGTGCTTGTAGAATACACTTTAAACGACTCGTCAAGACTTCTTCTTTTACTTAGTGGATCCTTGGGACGCTCGGATTAGAGTAGCCTATCGTGTCACTAGATCATTTGTCTTCTCTCTCGTTTACTGACTAAGATGAATTCGTAATAGCATTCAAGCATATCAATTGACGAGCATATCACTGACACCGTACATTACTTCAATATATACGATAAATGTACTTCCTAAACAATTTTTAAACTTGAACACTGTAAACATTATAACAGAATATATTTATCCTTTAAATTAAACATTTCTATCTACATCAAGCTGCTGATGCCCCTGGATTGGTATAAATAAATTTTGTATTGATTATTTTCAGAATATATCATGATTAATGTTATGCTCGTCATTTGCTATGCTTGAAACTATTACAGGTTGATCTTAGTCGATAAACGAGAACCAGACAATGAACCAGTGTCCGAGTACGTTACTCTCATCCGTTAACTCAAAGGAACTAACGAAGAAGTCTTGATATAGCGTAGAAAGTGTATTCTAAAAACACCCAGTAAATACAATGATCTCAAGCACACAATGCCCGCTTATTTATACATCATAAAAACATCCTTAGGAGAGTCACAAAAATAGAACACTAAAATAACACGGTAACCAATCACAACCAAGGATTTCCCTGGTGGGAAATGTGATCTCAAGGTACAATGATCAGCCCATTAATAAAATCCAAAATTAAGACATTCCTCAAGTGAGTTCTGGGGATCTACCGTCTCCAAAAATTAAATAAAGTCAATGAATTTATTTATTTATGCAATGCTAAAGAGTCTTATATTAAGACGAAACATTTTGTTTAATCCTTCCTAGTTTTCAATGAAGTGGTGAAACTTCATCAGTTGAGGTGGTTGGGACACGTATTACGAATGCCTAACCACAGACTGCCTCGACGAGCTATGCTTTGTGGTGTAGGAGTAGGTTGGAAGAAAGTTAGGGGCTGCCAGACCAAAATATGGCAGAAATCCATGAAGTCATTGACAAGTGGACTGAGTCATGTTGGTAGATGTAGACTACCTGGTTGGGGTCCGCGAGATGAAAGTCACCAATGGTTAGAGACCTTGAACGACATGGCTCAAAATCGTTTGCAATGGCGCAAGTGCATCCATTCGTTGTGCTCTCTCAAATCCCCTAATCTTCTGGATTTGTCAATACCTCTAGTTTTGACTTTCTAACCTTATCTCACTGAATTATATATACTTCTTGAATAATATCTTCAAACCCCAATCCTCTTCATTACCAATAATACCTCTACTATCTGGCAACTTGAACGTATGTACATACGTACGAAGTTCTACATTGCAACTGACTGACTAAGTTTTCAATGATATTTACCATGCCCCGCCCATGGATCCCCACCCTTCAAACTAAGATCAGTCTCTATTGAATACAACTTAAAAACTGTAATTAAAGTTATACTATTTCATTTGAATGAAAACAAGTATGCACTCTGGAAAAGAAATGTTATATTAATTTGAATATATATTCAATCATTCACTAAACACATTTAAATTAACACATCGAAAAATATAAACAGTTCTATATAATAAAAAAATAAATGAATAACTTTATAGTTTATATCATGATTGATTTTGTGAGGGGTTGGAAATGTATGCATGAAGTGTAGTTTTCATTGATATCTAGGTAAGAGAATTGTTATTAACTTGTGAAATTGATCACAACTTGGAAATAAGATATAAATGTATTGAACAGAGAAACATTGATTATGGGTTATAAATTGATAAAAAATGAGAAATGAGTTAGCAGTTAGGCTGGGTTGTATTAAGAAATCGGATCGGTGTCAAAACATGTAGTTTAAGAGGTTGAAAGCTATTAGTGTAGATAATCAATGAACATCGTTAGAGTGATTGGAAGTAAGTCAGTCATTCAGTGAGTCAGTTCCAACATGGAACTTGGTACGTACATACATCATTTCAAGCTCCAATACCATATTAGCATAGAGAGATGAAATTTTCGGGTAAACTTTTAGAGTACTGGGGGTAGTAACAGTATCAATGGTAGTATAAAAGACTATGGATTGAAGACAAGATTCAATAAAACATAAATCATTGAAATAAAAAAAATTTGAAGAACTGAGAAGCCTAGAATTAGAGAAATGATAAGGAATGGATGCACCTGGACTATATCATTAAAAATCTCTAACCACTGGTTACGATCACTGTGTACATCTCAACCAGGTAGTCCACACCTATTAACACAGTTCAGTCTAATTGGTATTAACCTCATAGACTGGTGTTACGTCTTAGCTTGCCTTTACCTAACCTTTCTTCAGCTTACTCATATACCCCAGACAAGGTAGACGGTCTTTGAGTAAATGAATATCTAGCTAGTTTAGAATTAGTAGGAATCTATTGATCAATGCTGTCTAATTATGACTGGTCCTTTAGCCAGTTGCTAGTTTATCACAAAAACTGCTTTTACAAAAGTAAATCATTAATTCATAAGCCACAAGTAATAATCTACAAAAATCGTGATCATCTTAGCACCCGTCTTTGTTGAAAGTGAAAAAAATAGTATAGTGAAATCATAAAATACTACCTACAATATCAACTAACTATACGTTATCACTAATTACTGAGCATTTTTAACAAGTGAAGTAGCACAGTCACAATGATACAATATGAGCGTATGTAATATATATATATATATATATATATATATATATATATATATATTCTTGGTTAACCATCATGCCTGCTGCACATGCACGCCGCTGCATTTTGAGCGACACAAAGATTCTAACAAGAGCCAATAGTGCGATCACCCCCGCCCAGTACGGGAACTTATATGTTGTCTAGATTGGTCTGCAGACAGGTGGACGTCCAAAAAGCACGCTCACGAGCAGTGACCCCTGTTCGGGCACTTATGAACCAACAAGATCCACCCTACCAATCCACTACCCACAATCCCCAATCGGCATGGGCGGCAAGGCGGGCTTTCCCAGCTAAACCTGGCGCCCCGAACGGATTACCGAGCCACCCAGCAGTGCACTAACCAGCAGCCATTCCAACCGTCTGGCCTGCAACTGCCTTGCGCTGATACAATCGACTGGAGCCCTTCAGACCCCACATGAAACTAAAGGTCGAGTTTGTCCCACAAGGTCAGCCGGAACGTACACCCGCAAGTATTCGGCCAAGCAGAGTTACTCCCACATAAGTGGGCAGATATCATTGGCGTCCAGTACCCTTTCAGCACTGGATCACATAACCCAACTGGAGACCCTTGTTTGAGGGGCTTCGATGCCAGCTGACACAATACACCGAGATGCAGAGTGTTTGGGAAAACTACATAGGGTCGGCGTCAGGATCTTTACGGCTGCTTCCCCAAACAAATCGTCTAGGGTCGTCTTCAAGTATCCGCAAAAGCTATATCCCATTATTTTCAAATTTACCTACGCTTAATGGACGGGGTTCAGAATTGGAGGCGTTGAGTCCTAATTCCTCAGAGTGACAAACCGCATCCACGGCCACGCGACCATGAACACGAACCATTATTCTGGACCATGCTAGGCACGGTATCCTAAGCGTTCGGAACGGCTTTTAGGCGCAGCGCTGTAAACAACGCCACGTTGCCTGGCAGGACAACGAATAGGTAGCCACCACCACAACCCCCAGAAGGCTCCATTTATGCGCGTCACGTAATATACGCATTCAATTAGATGACGAGGCATTTGGCTACCTTAAAAGAGTCATAGTTACTCCCGGCTCAGTGGCGTTCGCGCGTAAGACAGAAGGTCCTGGGTTCGAATCCTGCTAGGTGTAAGATTTGAACTGACAGTTGCGTTTCTGTGCTAATGCGGTATGGTAACCTTAAACTGATGTACGTAAGTACGAAGTTCTACGTTGTAACTGACTGATAGACTGACTGACTGACTGAGGTGTAGCAGTCGTGGATGCGCACTGCCTCTGATGAGTCCCATATCAGGACGAAACGGCTGTCCAGTGCTTCCAGGTTTCCGTACATACATTTGACCCAACAAATGAATGATTTTACTTAACACTATTTCTTAAACTATCAAAATTATACTCTAAATTAAAGTGTTCGCCTAGATCAGTAATAATGTGGTGCGAACTACTTTTAAGTAGTATATGACGTGAGTGTCAACGTAATGTCTGGCAGAAGAAGATGGGAGGAGATCAAGAAAGGAAGAGTTAGAAGAACACAATCAAAATTTGTATGAAACGCATGGATAGTGACAATGGATTGATGTTTTGCAACAGGAACAGTGCAGTTCGATATGATGAACTGATATTTTGCAAATGAACGATTTACGATATGGTTTTCCTATTTTACCAATTAACTCTGTAATTTTCGTTAAATACAATCCGGTT